AATGCCTGCAGCAAGTTATCAAATCGATCCGCGTAGACGATGATGTCATCAAAGAAATTGACGACATTACGTAGATCCTGGAGAACTGTGTCCATGCGTTGCTGCCAAATAGCGGGATATATGCTGCCCCATACACTGCGCGTGTTGGTCTAACGAGTCCATGGGTGGGAGTATTCAGCGTTAACGCGAGACTAAATTCTTCATCAACTTCTAGGTGCTTATAAGCGTCGACGATGTCCAGGTGGCAGAATAGGGTTGCGCCTCTCAACTTGTTGAAGAGATGCTCTACTTTTGGGATCGGATGTTCGTCAATTATGATTCTTGGGTTGTGTCGGCTTGTAGTTGCCGGTGATTCTTAGTTTACCATTTTTGTTGGCCACAATATGAGTGGTTGAGGCCCATTCCGAGTAATTGACTCAATTGTAAAATCCTGAGGCAATTTTAGCATCGATTTCCTTGACGTAGTCATCTCGTAAGCGAGTGGTACTTCCCGCGCTCTGGAGAAAACTGGAATAGCTCCTGGTTTTAACTTCATCGTCGCTGGAGGACCTGTCAGTTTGCCAGGGGTTTCTCCAAATAAATCATCATATCTAGTTAGTAAATGATCCAGCTGTTTCTCTTGGTCCACGGTGAGGGGTTTCGGAACTTCTGTGGTGGATATTTGATGCACCGGGGTTGGCTTGCTATAGTCTATTTCGTGCACAAATTCTGCGATCCATTCTCGGTCCAGAAGGGCGTCGAATTCTTCATTCACTACATAGAGATTAAACGCCTTCGTAGTTGCTCCAATGGTAACGTTGGCACAGACACGACCGATACAATTGAACCGGTGGCCCGTGTAACTGGCAAAATTTCGGTATGCCTTCTGTAAATTAAAAACATGATCAATTTTGTCAAGATTATGTTTGCTTATAATTCATCAAGGAGCGCCTGTTTCAAGTTCCATTTTGACTACTGTCTTCTTTCTGGACTGTCAGTATATGTCGTCCTGGTGATGGTACTGAGCCGATGATCTCAAGTTTGCTCAACCATTGTGCAACCATTGTACTGAGTCGATTTCGTCGTTGATCTCTCCGGAAGCAAGTTCTTTCTCGGTGAGCTGGTTCGTATTTTTAGTTTATCTTTCGCTTTAAAGAATTACTTAAAATTTGGCGATTGATATACCTATGATTGAGGTTATCCATAATTTCTGTTGGTATGTTATCAGCACCTTCAGTTTTTAAAAATGCTTTGCATTTTTCTTTTGTTTGTGCACAACAAATCCAACGTTTGGCATTATTTTTTACCATCTTATGAAAATGATATTTGAAGCCATCTAACACAATGAATTGTTTTCCTCTTTCACTCATTACAACTCTCATAGAACTCATTTAGACAAACAAAAATTAACAGCGTATACAAATCAAACAAACTATGTTAAACATGTTGTAGGTTGAAACCTCTTTTTATACCTGATATTCATAGATTAACCAATTAAATCCTTTGATAATAGATAATAAAATATCATTTGGTACAGAAATTTAGAAAGTAATTTAGAATTTCCAAAATACCGATATCAGGAGGATTAGAAGGATTCGAAAGATTACGTGACCCTTCTTAATTAACTTATCTTTGCCCTAAATTATAGCTGGTTAAATTCTAATTACTCATTAACAGTTGATTTCCTATTAACCAGTCACCAGTTAAAATTATTTTGTGAATTAATCTTTTTTCTCATTTAAATTTAAAAATCTCCCAAAATTATTAACTTTTAGGCATAGGGAATGCTTAACTCAAATGTAACTTTAATTGACGTACTTTTAAATGGTGATATAAAATCAGTGGCGGTTCGTGGCGGAGTTCACAGTGACAGAATATAGATATCAGTACAGATATATGAAAAAAACTTTCGGTGTTTTAGAAAGTTTGCACTATATCTTTCTAAAACACTGACAGTTTTTTACCTATTAGTCCAATTAAATAGACCTTTAAATTAAAATTTTGAAGGAAATACAGGAATTTTTGATATAAGTCACTTAAGAGTATTTGAAAACGATATATAAAAAATTTTGTTTTTCAGGCACCGGCAAATGTCAAAAAACAAGAAAATAAAGTGTTTTTTTATGGTTATTTAAAAACGGTAGGTGCTATAACAAAAAGTTTTTAATAAAAATTGTAAAGCATAAAGTTATACATAAAAATGATATTTGACATTTTTTGATATTATTAAAACTGACAGAGTTAGGGTGGTTAGAAATTAAGAGGAGATATATATGACTTGAAAAAATCATAGCGAGCTAAAAATTCAATGATTTTGTAGTTTATATAACAATTTTAATTTAGAAATTTTCAATATATTATACGAATTTATATGATAAAATAAATTTTGAAGTAAACTTATTAGCTTGACTGACATGAAAAATATAAGGAGTGAACTAATAACAACGACATCCCGACAGTTTGGTCCCCACTTGAAGTGCCATTAAATAAATAAAAATAAAAATAAATAAAAAAGAAGTAA